ACATGTTAAAAAAAATTTCAGATGAAAAAAAGTAAAATTAAAGAAATTATATTTTTCTATTATGAATTGTCGAGCCGTGAAATCTCGTAAAAGAAACCGAGTGGTGACTGACAGCGAGCGAGATAACATAGGCGCAGCAATGACGTAGCCTAGGCGTAGGACCATCTATACTGACACTTGTAGAATCCAAACTGACTGACACTTGTAGAGAATTTACTGTATTATCTGTCATATGGGCGTTATTTTGTATCAGTACTGCAAATCGCCTCTTGAGAACCACGTGTTACAGTTTTCTTGGTTTATAGATCTTGAGCATTTGAATTTTTCTTGCAGTGTTTCTACTACTTATAACGCATAGTAAATTACTTAAAATGTATCGAAGAAAGAATCAAGGCTGTAATTGCAGCAAAAGGTAGCGCTACCATATACTCATTTTATTGTTACTTCTTAACTGTATTTTTTATAACTACATAAGCTAAGTTTAACTGTTTTGTATATCTTTAGTGAACAATTGTTAATTAAAAATTATTTAGTGTGAAAACCTTGATATTGTGATTTTATTTCTACAGAAAAACAAAAAACAAATTTTTCGTATTGTGGCTCTAATAATTTAATCACCCACTATACATTAGTTTTTCAGATACTTGAGGTATGTTTGGGGCAGGTTTAGATTAGTTTTCAGTTAGCTTCACGCATATATTGTTCTACACTAAATCGAAAATTATTTCACGCTAGAGTTGTCGGCCGCTTCACGGCGCGACGGCCGGATATTAATTTGCCCCAACCTATAACCCATTGATTTTTCTTTCTTATTTATGTTCAAAATGATTATCGTCAATAAGTTAGGTTTAGGTTGGGTTATACAAAAGTACATCCGCCGTCAAGCGTCCGTAATCGTAATGTAAATTGAACTGCAATTTTTCGAGAATATCTCGGAAACTAACACCGACCGGTGGTTATATGTATAAGCAAAGTTACTCAGGACACCGACCTTGACAACATATCTGAACGTCATCGAAATCGATGAGGTGTGCCTCTTTGTAAATTGTAATTACCAAATATTTTTCATAATTTTTCGGCTAAAATTTCACAATTCTATGGGATTCATTGCTGAACGAAAATCATACAAGTACCTCAGTTCTGTTTGTATTGTTATTTTATTAAGAAACGCAAAATAATATTGTAGTTTATTACTTATGAAAATATCTCAACTGAAAAAATTTGTAGATATAAAACAGAAAAAATGACACAAATCACAATAGGGGTTGCTTTTAACGTACGTTGTGTAAAAGTTAATACCCATATTACTTTTAGGAAACTTAAAGAAGCGATTTTTGTGTAAATATTAGCAGACGTATGTTTAGTCATGCTGTAATCGAGTGATTTTCTAAACAGAAATTTTCTTTTCAGTTTCCTCAAAAATTTCATGTTTTCGACTTGTGACAGTTTTTTCGTGGGGGTACAATATGGTCTTACTTTCCGGAGAAGCTTCCTTGAAATGACTATACATTGGATGGATTCAAATTTTAAACGATAATCCAAAACTGTAGCTTGTTCAAAATTAGAAAATCTTCACATATATTGGGTTGTCTAATAAGTTCATGTTATTTTCGTTAGGTAAACATTTTGAGTCAGCAAAAGTTGAATTTTGGATTCGTGTTCATACTATTTTAAAGACTGTAAGTTCCTCTA